CAAATATAGCACCTTTGAGCCGCTCTTCCTCAGTTACACAAAGTGCCAATAGCTGATTAATGTCCCATTTTGTCTCTTGTGAATTATAATTTACCCTGAAAGCATCAAAAGATCTAGGCAGATAATAAATTACCATGTGGACCAATAACTTATCATCAAATGTGATTCCCTACTCCCTGAGACCATTAACTAGCTTGCATATCTTATAGATGTGCTCCCTCACTAAACCACTGCCATCATAACTGGTTGACATAAGTTGTGTCAGATAATAATACTGAAGTTGCTTCTTGATACCTATGAATTGCTTCTTAATTAAATCAAGAAGCGCCTTGGCAATATCAAATACAGGAATACCACCACGAATAATCTCACCAATAGAAGCACGGATCAACCAGATGGCCATGGTATTAGCCTTAGTCCACTTAGCATACAATAACTTTACTGTTTCACAAGACTCTTCAGTGATTGCAGCAGGTTTCTCCTCATAAAATACGAACTCATAGTCCAAGAAACCCAACATAATATCAACACTTGTCTTCCAAGTAGTATAGTTCAAACCATTCAATAGTTCAATCCTGTGAGCTGTCTTTGAATAGCGGAATCGTCCATAACTGTAATACATGTTATATCAAATAACAAAAAAAAAAAAAAAAAAAAATGAATAACATATAAAATAATATGTCACAGCTTTAGGGATTGTTATTTTAATTCGTGCTTAGGGTTTTAAGCTGAATTTATCAAGATGTTTTACTATATGCAAAACCGTCCACCCTGCGGGAACAAATAAAATGTCATCTAAAAATTACCTTTTGGCAGAATTTTAGATTTTATTTTACCCTCAAACTTACGATCAAATCACACATAAACCTATTTGATTATACTTGAATTGTTACTAAACACTTTCACTATCGTTTGGCAATAGGGATATTTAGTTATAATCCAAACACTCTCAAATATTTTACTCACTTATCCCACACTAAGACATTGATCACCTTTTGGCAGAACAAATGCCCTCATGTAGGTAAGTGCACTGTGAGACCTCAATAAGATCAATGCCTTAAAATTTCAAAAAAAATAATAAACTCCATGAGCGTGTCACTTTTTAGCAGGCATCACTCACTTTGACTATTATTTATTTTTTTGGAAACGGTCACTTTACCGGTCCTTATAAACCCCAATGAAGGACCTTATTTTTAGAAGTTCCATTTTAATCAGGTTCAAATTTATTTATTTAGTGTGCATAAACTAAACCAAAATATGGAACAAATACTATAAATTAATTATAAAGCATTGGATAACACCATTAAAATTATATGTATAGCACACTCATGCGGTCATGTAATTTCATCACCATTATGTGGGATTACTATCAATTAGTTAGTGAACAATTAATAAATAATACATGAAATTACTACCTCATATATATTGAATAATTTAAAAAATTAATTTAGTATTAAAAACATATATCTTTTTATATACTATATACAATATGTTTTTCACAATTAAATTCATTGACTTTTTGTTTTGTTCCTTGTTCGGTGTGCACAACTTATAAAGGAAATAAACTGATTAATTGCATAATAAATTCATTCTGATTAAAAAAAATCTCGTTCGGCGTGCATGCACAACATATTAGAATACAAACTAATTAATTGCATAACAAATTCGTGCAAAAACAAAATCTCGTTCAGCGTGCATGCACTACTGATTAAAGGACAAACTAATTAATTGTATAAATTTGTTGTATACAATATTTTTCAAACAGAAGAATCAATTACTTACTCATGAAAATATGAATCAATTACATATGCACATGCAAGTACAAACACACAATTTTTCAGATGATTAATCACCCACGAAAATCGAGGACACAAAGGTAATCAGTGCGATTTCAAATACACCGATTTAAGTATGCTACATAATAAATGAATCTCTACTATTTTAATTTCTACAAACCCTAACTTGGCTCTGATACCAATTGTTGGGTTTAAATAATAAATAACATGTAGAAATCAAGACTAATCATGAATTAAAGAGAGGTTTTGATATCATACCTGATTAGAAGATTAAACTTTAGATACCTTTGAGAATTCCTTAGTGCCTTTGAGATATCTGAAAAAAAATAGAGCGTTTTATCTCCTTCTAAAAGTTGTCGATACGATAAGGCTGAATAAGGGTTTTAAAACCCTTATATATAATAACAACAGGGGGAGGAACAACTTCTCTACAAACAAGCATACCTAAGTCTCCCTTCCTATTATGGAAACTTAGACATTAATAGTTAGAATTAAATCACACCAAATAAGTTGGAAAGTCACAATCCAACGGTATAAAAAACATACTCCTAATTAGATCACCAAATTGAAAAGTACAACCCAATCCATTAAGTATCAATAATTACATTGCAATCTTACTTTAGAAAACGTAATGCATAGGACCATAAAATAATTTTTATTATATATATATATATATATATATATATATATATATAATTTCCAACAGGCTTTTCTGATACAAAATGTAGACACTCTTTTCTTTTTTTCCCTCTAAATGTTGACCCTCATTTTTACTTGCACCATATCGCATTTGTGATGATCCAGAAATCAAAAACCCCAAGATGGAATTTCTGCTAAACCTTCCCAAATCGCTAGATAATTTACTTGGAATGTGGCTGATGTGGGCATGGACAAATTGAAACTTTATTAATTTTATTCAAGTGTCCAAATTATCTTTACTATTTCAATGACCGTTGATAAAAAAAAATGAACTAAATATTGATCATCAGTCATCAATATGGTCTGTATAACAAATGATACATGTGGCACAAAAAGTAATACCTCTATGAACAAAAACGATACCCACATACACAAAAATGTTCTTATGATTTTGGTGATGTAAAAGTGGTATCACTCGTCGGCCGAGATTCTATCTTTTTGGCACTATCACTTTATGTGAAGACGAGTAGTGATAAAATTATTATTATTATTATTATTATTATTATTTTATTTTTTATTTTTTTTACTGGTAGTTGAAATAGTAAGAATAATATGGACACTTGAATAACTTAAACAATAATTTTTCATACCCACATCAGTTTTTTAATCAAATTCATTTTTTTGAAACCTCATGCCATAGAGCTGCTTGGTGTGTGATAGGCCGACTCGAGCCTTAGGAGACTTAGACAGTCATTTAAGGCCCCAGCCAATAGGAAGGTCTTAAAATTTTAAAATTTTCTTATATTAAGTTATATTGTAATTTTTCTTAATATTGTTAAATTCTAATAAATATAAAAATTTTATATTAGGCGTCAAAGATTTCTATCCTAAAATAACTTCATCTTTTTTTTCTTTTCTTTTCTTTTTTTTTTTTTTTTTTTTTATTTGTCTCTCCCACTCATTTCTCAAATATTTATTTCTATCTTAAAATATTGTTTTTTCTCTTTTCTCACTCTCCTCATTCATTCCGATTTTATATTAGGCCTCAAATATTTATATCCTAAAATAAAAAAATAAAAAAATAATTCTCTCTTTTCTCTCTCCTCCCTAGTTCCGTTGAACTTTAATTGATACATAAATTTAATATTGGCCCCAAAATATTTACATCCTTCTCTTTTTTTCCCTCCCTTTTCCTACTCTCATTCACCTATAAAAATAAATCCTAACCAATATAGAAATTTAATATTAGGTCCAAAAATTTGTATCATTAAATTTTTTTTTCCCTCTTTTATTGTTGTTTGGGAAAATGACCTAATCAACATTTGCCACGTGTCAATGTAATTCTCAAAGTCTATGGACATAGACAACCAGATTATTCCAATATTATCGATTACAATTAGGTGCAGCAATCACAAATGAATAAAAAACTTAATTGCTCATGCAAAACAAATGATTTTGTAGAAGCAAACATCTATATAACTAATTAAAGACAATGCTAGAAGGTATTTAATTAACACGTTACCGGAAAAAATATATATATTAATAATTATTATAATAACAGGTAGTACAAGTGAATCAAAATTGTACCAATACAGTGCTAATCCACTATATAAGATCCATTAATCTTGACAATACCAAGACAAAAGGAAACCTCTCCTTGTCTTGTCTTAGAGTGGAGGGATGTGTTATGATTGGACAAGTTTAATAATTTGATTCTAACCTGTCACATGAAATACTAAATTCAAACTCAACTCTAACTCTATTTCCAACTTTAATTATTCAACCCAAATTTAATTCATCATTCTATTTTTAAATTTGGGTTTAGATTCTGAATAAAAATTTCTAGTTAATTCAAGTCACTCGTATGACTAATTCTTATACCGAAAATTTAATATGATATTGAATTAGATTTAGATTAAATTACTCTTAAGTTTTAAACAAGAAAAAGTTTAAAGATTTTTTTGTAAATTTTTAATAAATTACAAACAATTTTTTAAAAAATTAATTCTCTTAAATGTTAATATACAATAAGTTAAAATTTAATAAAAGAAGTTGAAAAAAAAAAAAAGTAATTATAGTTTAAATATTATATATAATGTATTTAAAAGTAAATATATATATATGAAAATAATATTAGAATTCGAATTCGGGTTAGTTCGGGTTGCTAGCACTTCAACCCAAGCTCAACCCTAATTAAATTCGGATTGAGATTTTTCAACCCAATCACAACCCTAATTGTAAAAATAATTATCCAAGCTCGTGAAAAATTGGGCTGGGCTCGGATTAGATTCGGATTACCCAACCCAAATTGCACCCCTAATTATGATGTTATTAGTTTTGTTGTTAATTTAATTTTAAAAATCTTATTCCAAAGGTATTTTAGTTGTTACTTTCATTTGAGAACTCCCGCATGCTTTGTATTTAAAATAAAATTACTTTTTGTGCATAGTTTTATGTCAATATTTGTAACGACCCAAAAGGATACCAAAATAATAATAAAAATCTATAAAAAAATTCGGCATGACCTCCGCAAAAAATGTCTCTAAACAACCTGTTGAAATACAAAAAATAAATAAATAAATAAATAAATGCAATGGCCTCACTGGGCCTTAAATCTAACATATCCTGTCCCAACGCAATATACATATATTATATCACATCCCCAAAGTGACTACATACATACAAAATCCCATTCCTCCATCTCATCCAACAAGGAACATACTTTGGTTACATCAAGTTACAGTCCAAAAAGCGTAGTTAGAATTTAAAAGTCCATGGCTTACAACATTATACTAATTAAACTAAAGTTTTACGAGTTAGTTAATATTACATTTACAAAATATTAGAGAGTTTTAATACAAAAGATAGCAAAAAATAAAAATAGGTCTCCGTGTTCGTCTAGAATCGTGGTAGATCGTCGTCCGCCACCTCTTTTCCATGTCCTGAAAATGTTAGAAATAATGGGGTGAGCATAAGCTCAGTAGGAAGTGTCTAAGACACACTTCTTATATCCCCGTGAATCCATACAATGAATAGATAAAAAGTGAAAGAAATCATGCTATAAGGAAACACACACTCTCAAATACAATAACAAGTATGTAACAAATACCATCCAATCACAAGTTAACCACAATGTCATGAAGTGTAATATGCAAATGTTACTCCCCATTTTCCAAAACATTTCCGTTTCAACTCCCAAAACCGTTAGTGTAATCCGACCCAAGGCACCTCTAAGGCGTCACGAATGGAGGGTTGATTAACTATCCACGACCACAAGGCACCTCCAAGGCGTCGCATCCGGCCTAGTTAGCTCAACCATGATCCCTTCTAGACTACACTAACACCACGGACCACTAGGTGCCGGTTTTCGCAAACTCCTTTAAAAAATATTTCCCCCAAAATAATTTCATTTTTCCAATGAATGCATGAATGTGCATGTTTCAATTTATCAATTCAACCATAGGCTCTCACACATTTCATTTACATCATTATCACAATTTAATAGAAATTTCTAAGCAATCATTTCTTTTATTTATTTATTGACCATAGCATCATTTTCTTTCAAAGCAATAAATAAATAAATAAAAATATACATAATCTTAGGACATACAATATGTCAACACCAAACATGCTCAATCACCGTAATAAATCTAGTCATATATATGAATTCAAATAACACATGGAACACATTTAGCATTTTAATTAAACATACTTCAACCACAAACTAGATAATCAAAATTAGCATGCATATGATCAAATTTAAGGGGAAAAATTCACAAAAAAAACTAAGAAATTGTAGATTAGAACACCCCTACCTCAATGGAAGTGAAAACTCCCAAAATCCCCAAATCCAAGCCCAAGAACCCTAGAATTTTGAACTCCCTAGAGTGCACCAATTGATGATTGGCTCTTATCAAATTGAAGACCTTGACAAGCTCTCCGACTTTGCTTCACAAGGTTTTATCAAATTTCAAAGGGATAGAGCTAGATCAAAGCTTGAAATTGCAATAAATAAGAAAAAGGAGAAACTGCCGAGAGAGAGGGTCTGGACGCAGAGAGAGAGAGAGAGAGAGAGAGAGAGAGAGAGGCTATACAATGATTCTTAAGTCATTGACTTAAAACTCATGCGGGCCCCACAAGTAAATAAATAAATATTTATTTAACTTATATAAATAAACACTACAATATTAATAAACTAGAACGGTTCAAATTTTTAATTGTACAATATTTACGAAAATTGTCCTTAACCCTAAATCTGACTATATCCTTAATTTGTGCACTATGGTGGTAGATTTATGCACTAAGAATGCATGACACATGCATGAACACATCTCATATACCTAACGAGCTGAAAAATATTATTTGACTTCAACTCGTTTACTTTGAATATGTTAAATATAAACTCATCTCAATTATTTATCACAATTGAAAATATAATTTAAGTTCAACTCAATTGCTTCACACATAATCATAAACTTATAGACTCTAGTCTAAATCGAACTTGAATAACAGCGTCTATTTCAAGGACGAATCGATAGCGGGTTTAGTGGTGCAGCCGCCCCAGTGAAATATTTTGTTTTTGTATTATATACATCTAAATTTTTAATTTTTTATATACCCATATAATTATAACATTACCCCACTGAAATTACGAAAAAAAGTCACTATGTAAGTTTTCTCTCACATAATTTTTTCAACAAAAACTGCTAGTATCATTCTTGTTTCAAGTGCAGAATTCCTTTGGGACCGACTTAACATTGACTGTGGAGCAACATATCTTCAACCTCCATGGGCAAATGATGAAAAGTTCATAAAAAAATGGACAAAACAAGCTAATCAGCAACTATAATAGCATCTCAAAGCCACCGACCTTTGATCTCCACATCAATGGTCAGTACTGGACAACCATCAATAGCACTTTAAGCAATCACCCAATTTATGTGGAAATGATTTACCCAACAAAGAGGGACAAAGTTGAAATATGCTTGGTTCGAATTGGCAACGATGACCCATTCATTTCTTCTCTAGAGGCCACACTTCTCCCCGGTGATTTCTATAGATTGATGGACAACCCCACCTTTCTGAATCTCCATAGCAGAATCCACTTCGGTGGCCACCGCAATGTTGGGTAATTTGTTAACTCATACATTCATTTAGTTACTTAAAGAGAGAATAAGGAGTTTGACAGTCGGATATATCCAACTATTTTATGTGAAAAAGGACATAATCATCATGATATCAGTGATACTAAAGACATCTGACATTAGCCTCCACTCACATAAATCATTCAAATACACTTTATTCAATAGAAAAAGTTATCATTGAGGGAGCTCTTACGGAACTGGTATGTAACTTCACGCCATTTTTAAACTACATAACTAATAACCGGTTTTTTTTTTTTAACAAAGGAAAACCTTGACAAAGTATAGCTCATCTTCTTTAACTACTGGTACTAGTTGTTCAGCAGTGAAAGCTACTGAAAAAGTAACAAAACAAAACAAGTAAATAAAAGAATGAAAGTAAAAAAAAAGTCTTTACCATAAGTGTATATTGCAGAGAACAAGCAAAGATTAGTGACGGATATTTCAACCAGATTTGGAAGATGAAACAAATGCAAGGCTATCAAAATGTAACTTCTCTTACAATTCCATATGGCTCCTCCTCAACTACAGAAAATCACCCTCCACTCATTGTCGTGGCAGACGCCATCACTCCTCCAAATGGTTCGAGTTCAATCTTAATGTGGTTTGATCTTCCCCAGCCAACCTCACACGCTTACTTTGTGTTTTACTTCAAGGAGCCGGATCAGTGGCTCCTGGAAGATCGCATTAGGAAAGTTGAGATTTCAATAGACGGTCACCGGATGGCTCTCACTGACGTCCTCCAAAATGACTTAATACAAGTTGTGTCACTTTACCCGGTCCGGGTTGCAGGGTCTGCCAATGTGACGCTAGAACGTGCAGAAGGGTCTACATTTCCTCCTATCATCAATGCAATGGAGGTGTTCAATTCAGTGGAGTTGTCAAGAGCTGAACTTGCCCATCACTATTCTATTATGGTTCTAGCTTTGCTTCATGTGTAAGGGCTTTCTATGTTGTTTCGATAAAAGTTTCATTTTGAACTAGAAGCTAGGGACTGCTAAATGTTTATGACACATAGATAATAATGTTCCTACTCGATCCTATTACCGTGTGTGTTTTTCATGTAATGTAGCGGCAGAGACAATATACTTCAATTTTGAAGGGCTTAACAATAACAACATGAAGGCAAGGCAAGACAGTTTTCTTGTTTTGAGTCGAAAAACTATTCTTTGAAATGAATATATATAGTGTATTATAGCTAGCACTTTAGTGGTATACAAAAATTTACAGCTGACCACACGAGGGGGATGTGCTAGAATGATATTGTTCGTTTCAACAGAGCTCCTATTGGGATGTTCTTTATGGCACATCTCAATGTTATCTATTGTCACCGTTGCAAGAGTTGTCCCTAAATCTTACCACTAACGCATGTAACTGAAAAAGGTGCAAACGAAAAAAGATGGTTAGATGGTTAATTTAGACAATAATCAATGTTTTACCACATGTCAGACGTGAGTTGCCGCATTAATTTCGTCATCAGTTTTTTTTTTTTTTTTTTTTGAGGTGAGTACTCACACACTTTTATCAACACCCGGGCTCGAATCCCTCCCTTCCTCTATGAGAATGGAAGGTTATGCCATTGGGCTAGAGGCCCTTTTTGCAATAGCTATATATATTGTTTTTTTCCATGAGGTAAGATTGTATTGAAACAACAATAACTGTACAAGCAAGACAAGATCGAGGCAACAGCCAGCAAGCTGCAAGGCAAAATACAACCAATCACAGCAATACAACAAAATAAAATCATATATATATATGATTGTTATTCCAATACATAAGAATTAACGTGATTCAGCATCCAACGGCGGGCCAACATGATAAATTAAATGTAACATCGCATGGTTTTGTACTGTATATATGCAACTGTGACATTGATTTGTGGATATATGTTCCATGGACTACCACATAGAAGGAGTAATTGGTCCATCACAGTTAATTTCCTGCATTTCTTAAGCTCCTTTGTCTACTTCTGTTTGAACAATTCCCTCTCTCTCTCCATGGATCAATGGAAAACAATGGCAGTTCTCTTGCTGATGCTTTCTATACTCAAGGCTGCTTCATATGAAAGTAAGGCTCAATCAGTAGTAGTGTTCATGTCCTGTGAACTTACAAAAGCAATTATCATATTTTTCAATGCATCTCTCTATATAACATAATCATCTATATATGTATATGATCACAGGATATAGATCCTTCAACTGGCGCATAGACTGTGGAGCATCCACTCAAACCCCTGCAACCAATAATAGCAACATACCCTGGCAAACGGACGAAGGGTTCATTAAAAGTGGAGAGAACAAAGTCCTCCCCACCAGCCAAACTCACTTTCAGATGAATACTCTACGCTACTTCCACAAAGGACACAAAAACTGTTATAAATTACCCTTCTATGACGCGTATGAGAAGTACCTCGTTCGAGCTGGCTTTTACTATGGCAACTATGATGGCCTCTCAAACCCACCTAGCTTTCGCCTAGAGATAGATGGGATCCCATGGGCAAATGTAACGACTTCAATGAGCGAAGACATAATCTACTATGAACTGCTTTACATAACAAAGAAGTCGAAAGTTAGTGTTGCTTGATTCGTACCATGGACTATGATGTTCCCTTCATTTCTTCTCTTGAAGCCTATAACATTAATTATGATGCTTATAATTGGATGGACAACACCACAGCTTTGTACCTTCATAGCAGGATCAACTACGGTGCAAATGCAAGTGTTGAGTAAGTAAATTAACTCGACTTCTAATCCTCACATCCATTTAACTTGCATCCTTTGATCCATAAACTTAATATATGGTAAAGATAAACATTACTGGAGCACTAATTTTCGCGGCATACCTTTCAAAACAACAAACTAATACCATTTTATCTTCTGTCATACTTTGAAGTGCATTTGGAAACTAATTACCGGGAAATCCCATATGAATAGTAATTAATTACTGGAGTGTATGGGCATGAAATTTACAGGCAGAATATAGATTTCCGTGCAGAACCCTACAATCGGATATGGAAATCCAAAGAAATGTCCAATTATCTCAGCATTCAGGCCGACAGCATAGATCAAATTTATTCATTTGCAGAAAATATGCCACCATGGCCAGTAATAGGATATGCGATCCAAGCACCAAGTCTAACAGACTCTATATATTTGTCCATTGATTTTTCCCCTCGAACAGCAGTGCAAGCCTACTTTGTGCTCTATTTCTTGGACCCTGTTTCTCGGTTGGCACAAAATCAAACTAGCAGTGTTGAAATCTATATAGACAACAACAAAATGGCTGTTACCGATATCCCTAATATTAACATTTTGGATGAAGAATGTCGTGTGGTAACGCTGTTTTCTGTGCCAGTCAATGGTTCAGCCAATGTGACTATTTCTCCGGCAGAGGGCTCGACTTTGGCACCGCTCCTGAACGCCATGGAAGTGTATTCTGCAATTGATGTGTCTGAGGGTGGACATTTGTTCAATTTCTCATTAGTACTATTTGTCATCTCTCTTCATTTGCTTGCTATACTTGTGAAATAAGCTTCTCTATTTGCTGTTGCACAGTAGTTTCAATCTATGAAGTTTTTATTTACGGAAAACAAATAAAATGTGAACTAATATACGAAGATTACATTAGATTGTGGATTACTGCATTAAATAAAAGCAAGAAACTTCTATTCATATATTGTGATCTTAATATCAAATGCAAAAATTCTTTTTAGGCCTTCAAGGTACTACATGCTGATACTTTTATACTTGCTTCACCAAGTTATTTCATGCTTAAAGAATCTGAAAATTTATATGTAAAGTCAGATATATGCAAATTGGATACTTGAAGTTACTGCGTTTTCTATCTCAAACTAGAGAAACTTTTGAGCAATATCTGGAAATTTCTAATTTATTGTATTTCTAATAAAAAGTTTGAA